GAAATGTTAAGAGTGCTACATGTCAGTTGCTATTAGCCAACTATACCTCCCCATCTTATACAGTGTATTTTTAAAATCCAGGTGTAGAATTCCATATTTATCACTATTAGACTTCATGTTCTCTTATTTTCCTCAAGGATATCATCATCATGTGCTTAGATCATTCTCATAAAGGTTTTGTAGAGATGAGAAAGTGATGTGTGACAGGAGTTGCTTATGTCCTCATGTTTATATTTTTTGGATTATATATGTATGTTATATTTCAAATCATAAAGTATCTCTTTGCCACCCAACTTAGGGAGGTCTTAAAAATCAATTTCTTAATGCTTTCAAAATTGTGTCACCTCCATTGTGAATGTCTGTATATACTGGGTACAGTCTAGCAATTCTTACCAGTAGTAACTTCTGAAATGTCATTTCCACTTTCTCATGTTGCACATCCAATACTGAGGTGTTAGAGGCCAAATTTGTTGAATGATAAGAATAGATCACCTTAATGATATCCGCATAGACGCAGAAGAGATCAGTTCACACAAGACAGACTAAGTGGATAAAGAATTCCGATTGCTCAGGCTGTGGTAACTTGCAGTTGGAGGAATAGACCTTTGAGTTTGTCTGTCAGTACATATACACTACAGAGAGACCTTGAGCTGGTCTCAAAGTGGGAAAGGAAGAAAAGATGCATCACATTATAGAAATTATGCTGTGTTTTCTTTTCAAATACATTTTTATTGATTTCTTTTGTTTTTTCGTTACAGTATCCCTCTCCCTGTCCCCTCCCAGAGAGAAATCCCACACAGCAAATATTTTTAAAACTAATTTATTTTAAACTTAAATACATAATAAGAAAAAAGAAACATATGATAAACTTAAATACAATATAAAAAAGCATTACCATGTGCACAGCAGAACATGAAAGAATTCAAAATATATAGCAATAAATTTCCATTTCAAGAAAGCCTATGTAATAAATACTATGCATTGTATTGAGAGATGTCCATCTTTTCTTTGTTTCCTTGTGAGTTTCCTTTTGTTCTCTCCTATGCACTTTTTACTTTGTTCTTTTTCCCCTTTCCCTCCCCCAAGAAGGCTACAATTAAGCTTGGATATATTTTTATATTTATACATTTTATATTTATTTATACATACATACACACACACATATATACATACATATACATGTATACACATATACTCACAGACCTATACACACAAACATATATATATACATACACACATATATGTACTTAGATATCTATAATCATACTCATATATAGACATATACATTCATATGTATCTATGTAAGACTGTACTATACTTGTTTGTTCTTTTTCTCTGAGGGTGGATAACAGCTTCCTTGCTGAGTCCAAGTCTTTCTATATTTTTTAAGTCCACCAACTCATCATTTCTTACACCACAGCGATATTCCAACCTTATACTATCTAATTATTTTAAATAGTCTAAAACAATATTAATATGGCTGACATATAGTATTCCTATTTTTCTCTTTTGATTAAATCTATTTTAGCTTTAACTTTATCTGAGATCATGATTACTACCCCTGCTTTTTCCCCAACAAATTCTACTCCTGATCTTTATTTTGTGTTTGTGTCTATCTCTTATTTCCTATCCCTCCTGACTCCTCTACCTTACTTCTACCCACTACCTTGCCCTCCTATTACTTAACCTACCCCCCCAAAGATCCCTCCCTTATCCTTTTCCCCCACCCTTTCCCCTTACCCTCTTGTTTCTGAGTTTAGAAGACTTTTATATTCTTCCAAATATATGTTATTCCCTCTTTATCTCATTCCCATTAATCTAGACACCCTTCTATAACCCCCCCCTTATCCTGTTCCCTCACTCTCTTATTTCTTTATAAATTTAGAAGACTTTTATTCCCTTCTAAAGGTATTTGTTGTTCTTTCTTTAACCCAGATCTGATGCAAGTAGGGTTCCCTCTAAAAATCCCTCCCTTATCTTCTCCCCCCCCATCCCCTTTGCCTTCTTTCTTTCTGAATTTTATATCTGTTGTTCCCTCTTTAATCCATTCCTGATGAGAACAGGGTTCCAGAACTACCAGCCCTCCTCCCGCATCTGATTCTTTACTCTGTATCAGTCCTTCCTCTCACACCTTATTTGTATAAAATATTTACTCTTTTTACCTTTTCCTAGATGGTATTACTTTTTAGAATCATGTCATACTCAGCTCTACCCCAATCTTTCTTTCAAACTGCCCAATTACTAGTTATAATTTCAGACATACAGTTTTCATTTCCTTGTATAAAAAGTAAGCCATCTGTTCTTATTGAGTTTCTTGTAGTTAGTCTTTGATGTTTACCTTATATTTCTCTTGGGTCTTGTATATCAGATTTTCCATTAAGTTCCATTAAGTTTTTGCAGTGAAATCCTGAAAGTCTGGCAGTTCATTAAATGTCCTTTTTTTTTTCATTCACTATTATGCTTAACTTTGCTGGGTGTGATATTTTTGGCTGTAACTCCAGTTCTTTTGCTCTTTGATATATAGTGTTCCAAGACCTGTGGTCTTTTAGGGTAGCTGCTGCTAGGTCTTGTGCGATTCTAATTGTGGTTCTGCCATATTTGAATTTTTTTTCTTGTTTTTCATAATATTTTTTCCTTGAGCTGGGGATTTTAGAATTTAGCTATGATATTCCTGTAGTAGGATCTCTTTCAGGTGGTGATTGGTGTATTTTTTTTTTAATGTCTACTTTCCCCTCTTGTTCTAACACTTCAGGACAATTTTCTTGAATTATTTCTTGCATTATTGTATCAAGATTCTTGTTTTGATCGTAGCTTTCAAGTAGTCTGATTATTCTTATGTTTTCTCTTCTTAATCTGTTCTCCAGATCAGTTGTTTTTCTTATGAGATGTTTCACATTCTTTTCTATTTTTTTCATTCTTTATATTTTCTTTTATTTCTTGGTCTCTTATAACTTCACTGGCTTCCCCTTACCCAATTCTAATTTTGAAGGAGTCAATTTCTTCCTTAAAATCCTGGATCTGTTTTTCTTGGATTGTATTTATCTTTTTAAAAAATTTTTTGAGGTACCTGGGTGGCACAATGCATAGAACACTGGCCCCGAAGTCTTCAAGAAGACCTGAGTTCAACTCTGACCTCAGACACTTGACAGTAGCTGTGTGACCCTGGGCACGTCACTTAACCCCAATTGCCTCACCAAAAAGCCAAAAAAAAAAGTTTTTTCTTCAATCTCTCTCATTTTATTTTTAAAGTCTATTTAAAGTTCTATGAATTCTTTTTGGGCAGGTGACCATTTGATGTTACTCTTTGGGGTAGGAGAGGCTTTTTTTGCTTCAATATCCTCCTCTGAAGACAAACCCTGGTTTTTCTCCTTTGCCTGCATATTTAAAAATTTTTTGTTATTATATTTATTATTATGATTCTAAAAATCATAATCAGCTGAAGCTGTTAAGGGAAGCTAAGAACTACAAAATAGACTTTTTAGCTATGTTACGCTATATTAAGATAAAAAGGAGAATCAGAAGAGATGGAACCTTTGCTTGAGATGAATGGGAAAATAATAATTGACAGGAGACAGAAGGCAAAGCTGCTTAGTTAATATTTTGTTTCTGTTTTCTCTTCAAAGGAGAATGAATTTTACACTGGAGATGACAGATAAAAATGATTCACAGGGAATTGATAGCCAAGATAAGGAACAAGATAGTAAGAGAGCACTGAGTTATTACTCTTGAGGAATTCAAGTTACATGGCCCTGATGAACCCATTCTTGGGTCCTGAATGAACTGGTAGATGTGATTGCTGAGCCACTTTCAGTGATAGTTGAAAGATCGTGAAAAATGAGAGAAGTGCCACAAAATTGGAGAAAGGCAGAAGCTCCAATTTTTTAAAAAGGGAAGAGTCAAAGACCTCCAACTACAAGCCGGTGACTGTGACTTCAGTTCCTGGGAAAATTCTAGAAACTAGATCATTAAAGTGATGTTTGGAGAAGATCTAGAAAGGGAAGTAGTGGCTTCATGAAGAACAAGTCAAGCCAGATTAACTCTATTTCCTTTTTGTGTAGGATTAATAAACTAGTTGATGAGGCCACTGCTGTGGATATAGTTTACCTAGATTTTAGCAAAACTTTTGATAAAGTATATCCTGCTTTTCTTGTGGACAAAATGGAGAAATATCAATTTGATGATAATGCAATCAGATGGATTCAGAATTAGCTGAATGAGCATTCGGCTGAATTTGATAAGATGAAATTCAAAAAGGGCAAACAAATTCTGAACCTGCATACAAAATAATCAACTAACTTCACATATACAAGATGGGAGAGGCATGGATGGATAACAGTTCTGAAAGGGGGTTTTTAGTGGATCACCAACTCAGTAGGAGTCAGCAGTGGGATATAAAAGACAAAAATGTTAATGTTGTCTTGGGCCACATTAGTCAGGGCATAGCTTCCAGGAGCAGGAAAGTGATAATCCTGCTGTGCTTTGCTCTTATGAAATCTCATCTCTAGTGTTGTGTTCAGCTCTGGGTGCCACAGTTTAAGAAAACATTGGTAAACTGGAGAGTGTCCAGGGGAAGGCTGGGATGGTGAAGGGTCTTGAGTTCATGACATATGAGAATAAGTTGAAGAAAAGGGTCATGATTAGCCTAGGGAAAAGAAGTCTTAGGGAGGACATAAATGATAGCTGTATTTGTGTATTTGAAGGGATTGTCTTGTGGAGAAAGTTACATTTACTTTCTTTGGCCCCAGGGGTCAGAACCAGGAGTAATGAGTAGAAATTTTAAAGAAGCCAGTGTAAGCTTGATCTTGGGAAAACCAAATGTGGAGTTGTCTTCCTTGAGAGGTGGTAAGTTCCCTTTCCACGGGGTTCCTCAGGCAGAGGCTAGATGAAGGCTTGTTGGGTGTGCTACAGCAGGCATTCCTTCATACATGAGTTAGGCTAGATGGCTGCTGAGGTTTATTCCAACTGCCAAATCCTAGGATTCTGTGATTCTTGTTACCCAGGAAATATGTGAACAACAAAGAAGGTGGGCCAGTCTTGGAGGAAGAACAAGGAAACACAGGTATGTGTTCAGCCTGAGGCTGGTGGACATTTTAATTAACGATTCTGACAAAGACATAGATGGAATACTTGTTAGATGTGTAGATGACACAAGGAGGGGAAGGAGAGTAACACACTGGATGACTGGAGCAAAAATGTCTTGACACCTAGAATATTGGGCTGAATCTCAAATGGTGACATCGAATAGGGAACAATGTATGGTCATACTTTCGGCCTCAAAAGTGAGAGGTAGTATCTTGTAGGCGAGGAACTGGCAAAACCTGGGCTCAAATCCTGCCCCAGACTCTTTCAAACTGTGACCCACTTAACCTTTCTAAGTCTCAGTTTCTTTATCTGTAAAAGGGGGAAATAATAGCACCTGCCTCACAAAGCTTTTGTGAGGTTCAAATGAGATTAAAAGCATTTTGCCAACTTTAAAGTGTTCCGTAACTACTAGCTATTTTTCAAAAAAATAGTTCATCTGAAAAACATCGGGGGTTTTAGTGGACTACAGGCTTAATAGGAATCAACATTGTGCTATGGTAACTAAGAATTAATTCAGTGATACCAAATTTCAGGCTCCTGAAGAACAGATTCTGCTCTGCAAGCCCTACTGCCTGCTCCTTCATCCTCCACTTCAGCCCTCCCATTGCCCATCCTCACATTATGTAGGCTCACCTTTTCCACTGTATCCCCTGGGATTACTGCTCTGTAATTAACAAACTTCTCTTTATTTTAGACTCATTCCTCTCATGCTCCCATCTTCTGGCTCTGAGTAAGATCCAGCCACCCCAGAATGACACTGCATCTTTGGCTTTCCTTTGTAGTCCTGATTGCACCTTCTTTCATACCACCCTCCCCCCACTCACTGGTCCTAGGGTGGAATTGATTCTCTTTTTCTTTCCATCGCTACTGTCAGATTTGCCCTTTCCTGCCTTCACTCAGCAACCTTTCCTTCAGTCCAAATCATATCACCTAATCCAGATCTTAGTGACCATTATCTAGATCATTCTTCTCCCTTTCTCACAGCTTAGTGCCTGGCTCATAGTTTTCCTCTCTATTTTAATTCCTACACTGATACAAAAGGGACATATATATAAATGTATGTATGTATATACACATATACACACATATATGTATACATATATGTACAGACACGCATATACATATACATATATACACATACACATATATGTGTTTCCTCATAGTTTCTCACCTCCTATTTGATTCCCATGATTTACCCTCCATTCCACCTCAGCCCCACCTAAGTATAGTCACACTTTGGCTCTTGTCATCACCCACAGATATTCTGCTTCCGTAATCAAGATTTCTGAAATTCCTTTATCCAAGAATAATCTGTCATTCCATCCCTCTCTATTTATTATTCCTCTTCTACTTATTCTTTATCCTCACTTCAGTTCTCAGTTTCTGTTAGGACTTTGCCAGGCCATCGCCCCTGATCTGCCTAACTTTCTTCCCTTCCCAGTCTCTCTTCCTTAGTGAACCAGTTCACCCTTACACTGTCCCTTGTTCTTGAATCCCTTGCTTCCTTCTCCTATCACTGAACGTGCTTTACTGAGCCCCAAACTTGGATTATCCCTGCAATCCACTGCTCCTGCTCATGTTACTGAAGAGTGCTGGAGGAAGTCATTCACATGTGCTACACATCTATAATGTCCACTGTGCACTCATTACTTCAAGACGACGCTTTTACTCATCTCCAATTGATTCTCTAGCCTATTGTCCATAGCACCTGTTACAGATCTCTTCTTAAGCCTCCCTCACCAGAAATCTTCATCTCTCAGCTGAGGTCCTCAGCTCACATAGCGAGAACAGAAGTACAAATACATCGCCCTAAAGTGGGGGCCCATACATCCCATAACCACCTCATTCCTTTTGGAGAGTGGGCTCAGTTGCTACAAAGTATCTCCCTCATTTAACATCGTGAATACAGCAAAGCTAATAGATAAGTCAGTCCCCTGCCATCTTCACTGCTATCTTTGGTTACTTCTAGGCGGGATCCTATAGATTGCTTCTTGGGACTACACTTGTGGGTGCATTGGGCTCAGTTGTCAATGGACCTCTGGTCCTCCAACCTTTCGAACCTTACGTGGTCATTCTCTCTCCAATATGCCTTCACCTAAGAGCAGGAAGGAACAGACACAACAGGAACAGAACTGCTATAGAGGCCATGTGACTCCCAAGTCACATGGTGAGGTTTCTAGCATTCCATTCTCCAAAATGTAACCGAGAAATAAGAGACTGATTTGATGGGTAGTGATTTTTGTAGGCACAGTGTATTCCAGTTCAGCAGCCAATCAAAAGGCTCTTATTTTGCTATATAGGAAGCTGACAAGAGACAGTCCTGGATGTGCCCTGAAATCCACATGGGGGCCTGTTTGCATCAGGAAGAACGTGCTCTACATACTTATAAGGACTGTACTCTCAGACCCCGGATATAGTTACCTAATGTTTTTACAGCACAATCATTTTCCTTTAATGCTGTCCCTTTTCAAGTCCTTCCTAATAACAACAGCAACAAAAATCATTCGAACAAACCAAAGGACGCAGCACTCGTGTCTGAGCACGTGTGAAATCTGCCCTTTCTACTTTTCCCCATGCTCACTGCTCTCCTGAGAGGAAGATTTGTTTCACTACCAGTTCTCTAGAACTGAGATTGTTCAATTCAGAGTTCACTTGTCTTTTGTGCTGTTATCATTTACGTTTTTGAGTCATGTGGATATTGTTTTCTTGGGTCTGCTTTTATTTATTTATTTTTATTTTTTATTTTTGGTTAGGCAATGGGGTTAAGTCATTTGCCCAGGGTCACACAGCTAGTAAGTGTTACGTGTCTGAGGCCAGATTTGAATTCAGGGCCAGTGCTTTATCCACTGCACCACCTAGCTGCCCCTTGGGTCTGCTTTCTTTGCTCTGCATCACTTCATATACGTCTTCTTTCTCTGTTTCTCTGAGTTCCTTGCATTTCTCATTCCTTACAGTGCAACACTATTCCATTATATTAGAATACCACCATTTGTTCAACTATTTCCAAAATTATGGGTACTCATTTTAAGAAAATTAATAGAGGCTAGAAACGTGTAGGTAGGGTCTTAGGGTTTGAGGATGGCTTGCTCACACGTTACAAGTGTGTGAGAGGCCACAGTTCTGAAAGAGGGAGTCAAAACGGAGTGTTGTCCCATGAGGAAATGGGAGGTCTGGAGAAGCTTAAAAAAGGTTCACTCACTCCCCACTTTTCTCAGGTGTGGGCCCTGTGGACAAAACTTAATATCCATGTATGGATAAGGGGAAAGAGACACTTTACAGGCCAACCAATAGATGCTCTTCTGTTCTATCTTGTCATTCAGAACAAAGTCTTCACAAAGGAATTAGAGCTGAGAAGGACCTTAGAGATCACTTAGTCCAACCTCTACATTTTATGGATCAGGAAGGCCCAGGAAGGAACATAATTTAACCAAGGTCACATAATTAGTAAGAGGCAGAAAGAGGGTTCGAGCCCAGTTGCTGTGACTCTAGATTTATAGTTTTTTTCTACTCTACTGTGCTGTCCTTTTTCTCTTTACAGAGGTACTTCATGTACTTTCTTTAGAATTCTGCCTGAGAGGCCCATTGCAAACTATATAAGATCCATATATGAGATGCTGAAAAAAATTACAAAATAAATCATAGACGTGTCATTGTGCTTATAAGCTGGCCAATTTGACCATTGACTGCTTAATAATACCTCTGGTAGGGTATCCTAGGGGAGGGAAAGGAATAGAAACTCACTTCCAGTTTTGCTGAACATTTTGATTGAGAATGAATCTCATGAGATTTTGGAATCAGAGACCTAGAGTTGAAAGGAACTTTAGAGGTCATCTAGTCCAATTCTCCCATTTTATACATGAGGAAATTGAGGCCCATAAAATTGAAGCAGCATACCCCCAAAGTCATATCAGTAGTAAGTAGCTAAGCTAAAATCTGAGTCTATCTCAAAATCACAGAATCTCAGATTTGGAGCAAACCCCAATAACCACTTAATCCAACCCATACCTAAAAAAGAATGCTGTTAGCACTCCCAAATGATCCTCCAGTCTTTGAATACCTCCAGTGAGGGGAAAACCTACTACCTCCTGAGGCAGTCTGTTCCACTTTGGGATAACTCTGATTGTTATGAATTTTTCCTTACCTTGAACCTAATTCTCTCTTTGCAATTTCTGCCATTGCTCCTAGGACTGACTTTGATGAAATTGTGGTATTCTTCTTGGAATATCACACTTTTTGAAGAATTAAAGTTGCAGGTCACTCAAAGAGTGTATGTGATGGGATTGAATTCCTTCTGCATTCCAGAGGAAAAATTAGTCAGGAGATATGTCATAAAAGTTGCCACCAAAGATGTCCAGAAAAAAAAAAGATGTAGACTGTTAATTGCCAATTAATTGCCCCAGTCTTGATCCCAGAGAAAGAAGGAGGAAATATGCGTTCCTCCCCTGGATACAAAGGCAAAGGGCTATGGGTAAGGAATGATGTATATACTAACAGGGGTAGGCACTTTTTTGGATTGAATTTTGTTCCAGTTTTTCTTTGTTAGAAGAGAAGAGAAGAAGGTGCATGTTGGATAATGATTCCATTGTTTAAATAAAATGTCATAATTATTGATTGAGGAATTGTATACTCACATAAAAAATTACCAACGTGTATAATGCTTTCAAATTTACAGTGTGCTTTACATATATTATTTCAAAATTTTAATCCTTTCAATCTCATTTACAAATGAAAAACTTGAGCAGAAGAGATTTGCCTAGGGTTATATTGCTAATTTGCCCATGGTTATATAACTTGTAAGTGTCTAAAGCAGGATTTGGCCCCGGATCTCTCCTGACACCAGGTGCAGCCCTCTTGTCTCTCAGTTTGTAAGCTGCTCTCACAACGCTCTTGGTACTTCTCAGCTGGTTCTTGGTCATCAAAGGTCTTGCAGCACTACTTCTACTTTAGTTCAGCTGCCTTAGTCCAGGTTTCTGTGCCAGTACAGAAATACAGAATCTCAAAGTGAGAAATCAAACTCTTAGTAGCATGTAGACTTCTGGACAGTAGAAACTCTTTTTCATTCTGTCTTTCTGTCCCCAGCACCTAGAATGATTGCCTGATGAGCACTATGATCTGTTATAGTTTAGTTGTTTTCAGTCTTGTCCAACTCTATGTGACTCATTAGGGTTTTCGGTACTGGAGTGGTTTGCTCTTTCCCTCTCCAGGAGGAGATTGAGGCAAACAGGGTTAAGTGACTTGCCCAGGGTCACATAGCTAGTACCTATCTGAGGCTGGATTTGAACTCAGGTCTTCTTGACTCCAGGCCTGTCACTCTATCTGTGGTGCCACCTGTCAGCCCCACGGTATGATTTAATAGATGCTTGTTAGATTAGTTTAGATCGGATTCAGAGGGATCTTAAAAATCAGCTGGTCTAGCCTCCCAGACCGTTACAAATGAGGAAATTGGAGGCCCAATGAGGTCAAGTGGTAATCCAGAACCTCAGCTAGGAAGCAACAGAGTTTAGATGAGAGCCAGGTTCTCTGAGCCCAAATTCAATGTCTGGGCGGGGGGGTGGGGGAGTGTAGGGTGATGCAAAGAGAACAGAACTCAAAGTCAGCACAAGATGGAGTTTCTGGTTTGCCTCTGACATTAGCTCTATTACTGTGGGCAAATTATGAAGCCTTAGCCTCCACATCTGTCAAGCAGAGAGAATAGTAACTGTAGTGCGTACCTCTCAGAGATGTTGTCTGGATCATAGTTCATGTTTGTACAATAAAGTACTACTATACTAGTATAAGCATCTGTTGTTAACTTTTCTTTTTCTTCCTGCTGTCACTGCTATTGTCCATGTTCTCATGCCTCTGTGCTTAGAACTACTAGAATAGCTAGCTTGCTAAATGTTCTCCCAGGTTCCAGTCTCTCTCTTACTCTATGTATGTTGTACCTTCAAAAGGCAGACAGGGAACCTGGAGCACAAGAGGAAAAATAGTAAAGAAACTGGGGCAACAAGGAAAAACAGAGAAAGATCTCAGAAACATCTATGTGTGAGAGCTCTCCAGTCCCCGTCTCTCCTGTCCAATGTTAATGGGAGTGGAAATAAGTATTTATATAACTTCTATGTGCCGGGTACTGTGCTAAGCACTTTTACAAATCATCTCATTTAATCCTCACAACAACCCTGTGGGATAAAAGTAACATTTATGTCCCCATTATTTGTTATTCCACAGTGCACTGCTGGTCAGAGGGCTCTATGATCTCTACCCCCACTCTATTTTACCATGTGTAAAATTGTCTTAGACCTGAGCAGTCCTGTCCTACATCTGTAGGTCCAGGGCAACCCTAGACAGACTAACTTCTAATTAGAGGCCTATATTCTGGAATCTTTCTACTGCAAGTTGTTTGAAAACCTGCCAATCTTGAGTTCTTAAGAGAGTCCCACCACCCACTCACCCCATTGCCTCCCAAGTAGAATGGAAGCCCTTTGAGGGTTGGGACTGTTATATTTTTATCTTTGTGTTTCTAGCACATACCATAATGCTCTGCATGTAATAGGTACTTGATAAATGGTTTTTTAATGGAAACTAATTTCATGCTCATAGGTTCGCTTCTCTCTTTCTTTGCAGCTCTTACTTGCCCACCTATCTCCTGAGCACCCTGATTGTATCACCCTGTAGGCCATGGAGAATGAGCTGCCAGCCCCACCCACATCTATCAGTGCCACCATTGCCAGCAGTAACAGCGGGGTCAGTAGTAGCAGCAGCAGCAGCAACAGCAGCAATGGTGGTAGCCGTTCTACTGGAGCTGGGCCTCAGATTTCTGTGTACGGTGGTATCCCCGACCGACAGACTGTACAGGTAAGCCTTAAATTGTTTGGGTATCTATACATCTTGGAGCCTAGGGCTAGGCCGTAAAGCCCCAAGGTAGAGAACCTAGAAAAATCTTTTCTTAAAAGCTATAGTCCTATGTGAACACAATTACGAAACACTTTTCACACAAATAAAGTCAGATCGAAATACTTGGAAAAATATCATTTGCTCATGGGTAGGTCGAGCTAATATAATAAAAATGTCAATTCTGTCTAAATTAATTTACTTATTCATTGCCATACCAATCAAACTACCAAAAATAATTTTATAGAGCTAGAAGAAAAAATAACAAAATTCATCTGGAAGAACAAAAGGTCCAGAATATCAAGGGAATTAATGAAAAAAAATGCAAGGGAAGGTAGCCTAGCCATACTAGATATTAAATTGTATTTTAAAGCCGTAATCATCAAAACTACTTGGTACTGGCTAAGAAATAGAGTTGTGGATCAGTGGAATGGGTTAGATACACAAGACATAGTAGTCAATGACTATAATGATCTGCTGTTTGATAAACCCAAAGACTCTAGCTTCTAGGATAAGAACTCACTATTTAACAAAAGCTTCAGGGAAAAGTAGGAAACAGTATGGTAGAAACTAGACATAGACCAACATCTTATACCATATACCAATATAAAGTCAAAATGAGTACATGATTTAGATATAAAGGCTGATACTATAAACAGAGAGCAAGGAATAGTTTACCTGTCAGATTTATGGAGAAGGGAAGAATTTATGACTAAAGAAGAGATAGAGAGCATTATGAAATGCAAAATGGATGATTTTGATTACATTAAATTGAAAAGTTTTTGCAACAAGCCAATGCAACCAAGATTAGAAGGGAAGCAGAAAGTGAGAAACAATTTTTACCACCAGTGTCTCTGATAAAGGCCTCATTACTAAAATATATAGAGAACTGAGCCAAATTTATAAGAGTACAAGTCATCCCTCAATTGATAAATGATCAAAAGGATATAAACAGGCAGTTTTCAGATGAAGAAATTAAAGTTATCTGTGGTCATATGAAAAGATGCTCTAAACCACTATTGATTAGAGAAGTGCAAATCAAAACAACTCTGAGGTACTATATCACACCTATCAGACTGGCTAACATGACAAAACAGGAAAATAATAAATGTTGGAGAAGATTGGGAAAATTGGAACAGTAACGCATTGTTGGTGCAGTTGTGAACTTATGCAGCCATTCTGGAGAGCAATTTAGAACTATGCCCAAAGGGCTATAAAATTGTGCGTACCCTTTGACCCATCAATGCCATTGCTAGGTCTGTATCCCAAAGAGATCATAAAAATGAGAAAAGGACCCACATGTACAAAAATATTTATAGCAGCTCTTTTTGTGGCGGCAAAGAATTGGAAATGGAGAGGATGCCCATCAATTGGGGAATGGCTGAGCAAGTTGTGGTATATGAATGTAGTGGAACACTATCGTGCTATAAGAAATGATGAACAGGCTGACTTCAGAAAAACCTGGAAAGACTTGTATGGTCTGATGCTGAGTGAAGTGAGGAGAACCAGGAGAACTTTGTACACAATAACAGACATGTTGTGAGATGACTAATACTGATAAACTTAACCCTTCCCAGCAATACAAGGATCTAAGACATCTCCAGAGGTCTCATGATGGAAAATGCTATCCACATCCAAAGAAAGAACTATAGAAGTTAAATTGCTATTTTTTTCTCTTCTGTTAAGTTTTGTTTCCTCTTTCTGATAGTTCCTCCTGTTGGTTTTAATCTTTACTTACAACATCACTACTGTGAAAATAAGTTTAATAGGAATGTAAATGTATAGCCTATATCAGATTGTGTGCCATCTTGGGGAGGGTGGCAGGGAGAAAGGGGGAGAAAAATTTTAAACTCAAAAGCATATGGAAGTGATTATTGATAAATCAAAATAAATTGATTAAAAAATGTTAAAAAAAATCTTTTTAAGAGTCTTATACTGATTAGGCTATTATAATTGTAGACTCAGACTTCACAGTCTTGGTTTTTGTGGTTGGTGGTGGTTTTTGTTTTGTTTTGTTTTTGTGAGGCAATAGGGGGTAAGTGACTTGCCCAGGGTCACACAGTAAGTGTCAAGTGTTTGGTCTGAGACTGGATTTGAACTGAGGTCCTCCTTACTTCAGGGCTCGTGCTCTTTCTACTGCGCCATGTAGCTGCCCCTAGACCTCATAATCTTAACCCTTTATTGAATTAGTTTTACTTCACCCTGTCCTTGTATCCTTTCTCCCTTTTTTTCTTTTACTGCTCATCTGTTTTCAAACCCCAACCTTACATTTCTTCCACCATCTACCTGCCCTGCTCCCACTTACATGCTGCATAATGTTGCTGAATAAAGTCACCTAATTGTGCTGAGTCCGCTAGAAATTTATTATCCACTCTCAACTGGGTCCTTCCTGTTATACATCAAACATTTTACTATTGTCTGGTTAACCATCATTCTCTCCACATAGCTGTTCTAAAACTTCTCTTCCTAAAACATGCATGCCACCCTCTTCCCAGTTCTTCTCCACAAAGGACCTCTTTTCATACTTTATTGAAAAAATTGAGGTTACCCATTAGGATCTCCTTCTCCTCCACAGCGCAAATCACTTTATCATTATCCTTCATTCTATTCTCCTTTGTTTGACCTCAAAGGATGTATTGGCCAAAACCAACTCCTCTACATGTGACCTTTGTCCCATCCCTTCTCATTTCTTCTGGCAGATTGCTCCTTTCTTTTTCCCTTATTTTCAACCTCTTTTAGTCCATTGATTTTGTCTCTGCTTCTTACACTTTCATCCCCCTCCCATTCTTAAAAAGCTTTCAACTTGACCTTATCATCATTTTAAGCTATCATTTATATACTGTGCATCCTCCCTTTAAGGGCCAGACTCCTAGAAAAAGCTGGCTACACTTATTGACTCAACTTACATCTCATTCATTTTGAAAACGTTGAAATATGGTGTCTGTCCCTAGCATTCATTTGAAACTAATCTCCTGAAGGTCAGTAAATGCACATTAGTTTGTATTTATCTCTTTATTGCTTAATCTACTGGCTTTTTTCCACTTCTCACACTTGACCTCTCTGCAGCATTTGACACTGCTGATCAAGTCAATGAGAATTGATTGTGCCAGGCACTGTGCTGAGTGCCAGGGACACGAAGAAAGACAGAAATAGCCCTTGCTCTCAAGGAGCTCACAATTTAATGGAGGAGGAAACATGCAAACAGCTGTGTACAAAAAAAACATAGACAGGAGAGACTGGAGGTAATCAGCAGAAGGAAGGCACTGGCATCGAGGGGGCTTGGGAAAGGCTTTCCATTGGAAGTTGCCCTTCAGCTCAGCCTTCCGTGGCATCGTAATCCAGTTACCTTGCAGTGTTATCTTCCTTTTCATTATTGTAGTCATCGTGTGCTTTGTTCCTCTGGTTCTGCTTTCTTTGTGTCAGTTCATGAGTCTTCCTGCATTTCTTTGAATTCTTCGCATTGTTTCTTACAGTACCCTATTATCCTGCTACACATTGTAGTTTGTGCAGCCATACCACAATCTCTTGTTTGTTGGTTTGGGGGCTACATTTCTGCCAAATTGGGTGACCATATCTATCCCTTGTATTTCTACTCTGCAGCATTCCCTACTGAGAAAGAATCTTTTAGCTATAGCTTAAACAGCTCTAATCACTGAATGGGCCTTGTCTCAGTCAAAGTGAGAACTCAGAAAGACCTTAGCTTAAAAAGGTTGCCAAGGTCTGCCACTGCATACAGGGCCATATCTAGTTGCCCTGATCTGCATCTTACCACTGGACCCAGATGACTCTGGAGGAAAAAGTGAGGCTGGTGACTACACAACCCTCCCTCACTGTAATCCAATTCACTTGCAAGTCTTGGCATCCCCTTTCTGATGTCATGGTCCTCTTTGAAGACAAAGGACAAACCACACACAATCTAGCTTTCGATTCCTCCTAAATGTTTGGAGAGAGAAGACCAGAAGGACAAAGACCCTGGAAAAGAGAGCAACCTAGACAGAGAAGGGCATAAGCGAGAGGAGTCCTAGGAGGAGAGCACATGGTAGGAAGGGAGGAAAGCTAAGCTCAGGAAAGCAGCCCCAGTGGAAAACAGGGTCCTGAGGAGAAAGGAGAGAAAGAAAGAGGAAGAGCGCAAAGGGAGAGTCAAACTCTAAAGGAGACATGGAAGAGTGGAGCCCAATAAGAAACTGGGCTCAGCTGGGGTCTCTGTGCCCAGTCCTGCCTCATCAGAGTCCAGGCTCTGAGGCTGGAATTTCTTCAGTTCAAAGGTTCTCAGCCACAGAAACCACACTAGGAGGCTAGAAAAGGAGGTAGCTGACCTCTGGGGGAGGGGAGGGGCCGGTGCCTAGGGCTGCAGTTCAGCTTGGGGATTTGGCTGAGCTAAGGTCAGGAGGTCCACTCAGGCCAAGGCATAGCTTGGGGCAATGTATGCCAGAGGAGAGCTGCAGGTGAGTGACAGGAGAGCAAGGAGGAGGGGCAAGGGTTCTGGGGCATTGGGGGCGGAGGGAGAGAACACAGAGCTTCGCTTTTTTCTCAGAGAAAAGGCTGTGTGGGGTGAGGTCAGAGGGCAGCTCTTTGTCACTGTCCAGAGACCTTTTCTTAGCCAATCACATTGGGAAGGGAGGACTATGTTGAAAAAAGGGAAGGGGTTGGGGGTGGGGGTGGGGGAGAAGAGCTTAAGCTAAAGAGAGAAGGGGAGGGAAGGATGGATGGATGGAAGGAAGGAATGAGAAAAGGATAGAAGACAGGCAAGCAGGAGGCTAGTCCCAGCATCCCTGTGGAGCTGAGGCTGTGAAGAGCTTGAGCCTTAGAAAGCAGAACTACAGTCCAGAGAGGCCCAACACTCTGCTGTGCAGCCCAGGAGGCATTGCTTTGTGGGAAGCCACAGGCAGGCCCCTGGAAAGCATCATCGAGAGCCAGAAACAGGACCTTTCTGAAACTGTTGGTGCCTAGAAGGAGGGTCTGTGTCCCCTAAGCTGCGTTCAGGTGAGTCCTAGGCCTGCTGCCTACTTCCAAAAACAGGACAGGTACCCCACTGACCTTTACTCTCCACCATTACCTCATTCTTGCTTTTAGTTCCCATTTATTTATTTACCATCATCTTTTTCTCTCTTTGCTCTTTACATTCCGGGCAGACTGGCTTACTTGCCATTCCCTGGCCACCTCCCTCTTAGGTGCCTTTGCATTAGTTGTATGCTTTATACGTGGAGGATAGAGTGGCATATGAATGTGGAGAGTTGGAAGGAATTTCAGTGGCTGTCTAATCCAGTTCATCCTGAAAAAATTTGATTAACAAGCATTTATTAAGTACCTACTATATACCAGGTACTGTACTAGGCTTTGGGGATACAAGGAGCTTAACTTTTTCCTCAGGTGAGACATTATGTTCTTATATAAGAGTATACAGAATCAATATAAGATAATTTAGTGAGGAGGCTCTAGCAGCTGGAGGGCAGGGGTAGATCAAGAAAGGTTTCATGTAGTTGGTGATTGAGATGATTTTTGAAGGAACTTAAGACTTCTAAGAGGCAGAATTGAGGGAAAAGGTTTTAAATGCCAAACAGAAGAATTCATATTTGATTCTAGGGTTAAGAGAAAGTTTCTGGAGTTTATTGAACAGAGGCGTTACATGGCCAGACTTGTGCTTTAGGAAAACCTTAAGCAGCTGTGTAGAGATGGATGTGAGAAAGAAGAGCTTTGAGGCAGGGAGCCCAATTTGGAGGCCAGTGCAGCATAGTCCAGGTGGGAGGAGATGAAAGGGGGCTATATGAGTGGAGAGAAGGGAGTGGGTACAAGAGGTGTTGTGGAGGTATAAGCAATAACATTTGGCAGTTTGATTAGATAGATGGGGTAAGGAATATTGAGGAGTTGAGAATGACACCAGGGTTCCTAGCCTGAGTAATGGTTGCCTCAGTAGAGACAGAGATGATCAGAAGAGGAAGGTAATTTTTGGGGGGAAGGTAATAAGTTCTGTTTTGGATCATTTGAATCTGAGCTGCCTATGGGATATATGCATTTGGAAATGTCTCATAGGCAATTGATGGTGTGTGATTGGAGACTGGGAAAGAGGCTAAGGTTGAATATATGAGATTATGTTTGTAAAAAGCTTAGCACAGTGCCTGGCACAGAGTAGGTACTTAATAAATGCTTGTTCTTTTCTTCCTGTATATGGACCTGGGACTCATCCTTGTAGAGTTGATGACAAAAAGGAACTCTCACATTACGTAATGTACTTGGCCAGTGGTCATCTGGCCTTAACTTGAAGGTCTCTAGTGAAGGAGTATCCACTTCTGAGGTAGCCAATTCCAAATTTTGGAAAGCTCTAATTATTAGAGTCAGAAGACCTGGGTTCAAATCCTGGGTCTGCTACTTCTGTCTGTGTAACCTCTGACAATTTGCTTAACTTTCCTCATCTTCAAAGTGAAAGGGTTGGACTAGACAGTTTTTGAGGTACCTTCCAGTGATCTGTCCTAGAAATATGAGAGTAGCCACTAACTGGGAGGATGCTAGATGTGGCCAAGAGTCCACTATAGTTCTGCCTTCTCATTTTATCACCAGGAGGCAGCATCCCAAAGCCAAGAGGTTTCCTTTCTGGAAATGTGCATGAATTGACCCTCTCAGTCTCAATTTCTGCTCGCCTCAATTCCTCCAGTAGCCACAGTTCCCTAAAAGTCAGGCCATTTCTTCCCCTTCCTGTTTAGTATCCACTTGGATCACTTATAGCTACTGCTTCTTTTTCACTGGACTCCAGACGGAGGGAGATAGAGAGCCTGACCTCAGCCTGAATAACCAAAGGAGACAGAAGACAGAAAGGGTAAAGTGTCATAGACTGGATCAAGATCAGAACTGAGGAATCCTGGCAGCCAGTCGAATGTCCCATACTTGAGCTGACCCAGCTCCTAAGATTAGACAAGTAGAGGATCATAGCTTTAGTGCTGAAAGGGATCGTAGACATCATCAAGCCCAGCTGAGGCCCAGCAAGGTTAAATGTCTTAGCCACAGTCAGGCAACCAGTAATTAAAGGGGAAGGGAGTTAAGTGCAGGTCAGTCAGTCAGTAAACGTTTATTTAACACCAACTATGTGTCAGACACTCTGCTGAGCACTGGGGATACAAAAAGAGGAAAAAACAGAAAAACCCCAAAACCAGTCTCTGCCCTCAAGGAGCTCACAGTCTGATGGGGGAGACAAGCAAAGAAATATGTACAAACAAACTGTATACAGGATAAATGGGAAATAATTAAGAGAGGGAAAGCACTGGCCTAAAGAGGAGTTGGGAAAAGTTTCTCGTAGAAGATCTTGCTGGCCCCAAACACATCATTTAGCCATTATGCTACTCTGCTTGCCAGTTGCCTTTCAGGTGCTGAGAGGGTGGTACTTTCAGGTCCCTTGGGTGTCTGCCTGTGTTGGGCTTTATTTCTAGCCAATATATATGCTTCATACCTGGGGGATAGAGTGGCACTCTGTTAAAAGGTTCCTGGGGTAGGGTCTCTCTAGGATGGTAGCCTTTGGGTTTGTCCTGGTGGGAAAAGGAAAAGATAAGCAAAAGGCATCATGGTAAAATACAAAGTTCCCTGGACTTGGGAGTCAGAAGAGCTCAGATTTTGATTCCCACTCTGGACATACCTGTGGGTCAAACCAACCAACCTTTCTGAGCTTCAGTTTCTTTATCTACAAAAGATTAAGAACAATACTTAAAGAATCTACTTCTCAGGATCATTGTGATAAAATGGATATAAAGCACTTTATAAATCTTGAGGGCCTATATTAATGTCAGCTGTCATTATCATGTGAGCTGAAGACAGACAAGTTAGAAAAGGAGCCTTGATAGGGTAGGCTATTGGACAGAGTAAGATAAAATCTAATCGAGATAGATGTACACTCTTACACCTGTATTCCAAACTTCAAATTCACACATCACAAGATAAAAGAGGCATGGCTAGACAGCAGTTCATCTGAAAAAATATCTTGGGGATGGAGGAGGTTAGGGTTGTTTGGGGGGCTGTAAGCTCTATATCAGTCATGGTGTGATACTGCAGCCCAGAAAAGTAACAGAGAAACCAGGAATAAAGAGATGACGGTATACTCTGCTCTAATGAGATGTCATCTGGAATAGCGTGTTCAGTTCTGGGCACCACAGGTTAGGAAGAATGTTGGCAGGCTTCTGATGGAAGCCCACCAGACTGGTGAAATGCCTTGAGTTCAGATGGTATGAAGGTATTGGGAATTCTTGGCCAGGAGGAGGAAAGATTCAAGAGGGATTTAGAGGCCTGTCACCTATTTGTTCCGTCTGTCCCCAGAGGGCAGAATTGGGAACAGTGGGAGAAATTGTGAAGAAAAGAAATTGCAGAAAACCCCAATTGCTTGCTGTCAGGCAGGGAACACACTTCCTTAGGTCAGAGTAACCTGGCCTGCCTTGGGAAGCAGTGGGGTCCTCTTCATCGGAGGCCTTCAAGAAAAGGCGGCCTGACCCCTTGGGAGGGACACTGCAGACGGAGTTGTTTCTCAGGTTTGGTTGGACTAGGTGGCTGCTGAAGACCTCTGAGATTGCATTGCCCCAGGCCAGGAGAGAGGACAGAAGGCATGGGAGGAGCCTGCACAGTTTGGGGCACGGTGCTGTGTCTCACTCACCTCTGGAATATCACATCACTTGGTTCGATCAGAGGGATGAATTGGAAAACCAAAAGAAGTCAGCACAGGAGCGTCGGGCCTGTTCGCCGGGCTGTCTAGGTGGCTCTAGGCATCCTTCTGTTGATCGGAGCGAACGCTCCCCTGAGCCGTTTTGGTGCTTCCTCCTCAGGTGATCCAGCAAGCCCTGCACCGGCAGCCCAGCACCGCGGCCCAGTACCTGCAGCAGATGTACGCAGCCCAACAGCAGCACCTCATGCTGCAGACAGCAGCCCTGCAGCAGCAGCACCTCGGCAGCGCCCAGCTCCAGAGCCTGGCGGCTGTGCAGCAGGTGTGATGGGAGGGTGTGTGTGTGTGTGTGTGTGTGTGTGACAGAGAAAGACAGGCAGGCTGAGCTGGGAGACCCCCTCAGAAGCTATGTAAATGAAAAGGCTCCCGGCCACCTGCACATTTGCCTCATTTCTGGCCATCTCTCTGGTGACCCAGAGTTGCTTCTCAGCTTGGGGGCTGAAGTAGCTAGAGTAAGTAAGCAGGATCTCACTACCCAGCTGCTGGAGAGTGCTGGTGTTGGTAGAGGAAGGAAAGGGGCTTTGGATGGGAAGGTGGGGAAAGTAGGAGGAGTTTCTGAGCATGGAGAGCATTGTGGGGAGGTCTGGAACCCCAGTGAAGAGTGTTCCTTTTTTATAGGCGAGTCTGGTGGCCAACAGACAAGGGGCCCCTTCGAGCAACAATGGCTCTGCACAGTCGCCAGCCCAGTCACCGTCGGTAAGTGGAATGCTGAACGATTAGAGGTGAACTGGAATTGTTCACAGTTCTGGGGCTTATTCCTTCCATCCTGCTTTGAACACCCATGTATTCCTAGATTCCATACTGTGGGGAATCTTTACCTAGGTGAGATGAAGGGACCTGTCACTTCCCCTCTCTCATGCACTTTCCATCACTGGCTAGATTTTAGAGGAACTCACACAGTGCCCCCCCCCTCGTGGTGGGGTCTCCCTAGCCTTTCTCTAAGGGCCTTTGCTACCCTGACTGGTCGAGAAGGTTTGTGTACTTCTCTGTGTCCTCCCTATTTTCTTCCCCCTCCTTCCAAGAGTTTGTGTCCATTCATTCACACATGACAAGGTTATCTTCTCCTGGAGTAATCCTGATTCCACTGATACCTGAGGGCCACTGAACCCTTTCTGTAGCAGAGAATCCAAATCAGGGATGGGGGAGGAATGATGGCTGCCAGAGGCCACAGCGGATCACATTCAGTCCTTATTCTCACAGAGTTGGACCCAAAAGAGGCTGGGCTCACCATAGAAGCCAAAGGTGGACAGCAGTGCTTAACAAGGGGATGAGTATGTGGGCTAGCCCACTGAACTTGCCATTTTCTGTTGCTTATGTCTCCCCAGATAAACCTGGCAGCCTCCCCAGCAACAGCTCAGCTCATCAACCGTGCCCAGAGTGTCAACACAGCCGCAGCCTCGGGCATTGCCCAGCAGGCTGTGCTGTTGGGTAATACCTCCTCTCCGGCACTGACAGCCAGCCAGGCGCAGATGTATCTGAGGGCACAGATGGTGAGCACTCTTGGCTTGGGCACATGGCCAGATTCCTCTTATGGATTTAGAGTAGGGAACCCAGGAGAACTGAGAGAGGTCCAAATGGAAGTGGAGGCACAGAGATCAGAAGAAGGAAGGTCAGGAATAATGGTGAAAAAAAGAAACTGAGGGGTCAGGAGAAATACAGGAAGAAAGAAACAGGTGGGTTAGGGGGTGGGATAAAGACAGACAGGGCTGGGATCATCTCAGGAACTGAGCAAAGACGGATAAATACATTATATTGTCCCTGTCCCTTTCCTTGCTTCCTGAGAAGGAAATAAGGCCACTTACCAGCTTGTTCAGGCCTCCTCTGCAACTCTACACCTTCCATAACTCGACAGGGAAGAGGGCATGCAGGGGACCCACAATTCACCCATGGCATGGTATACTTGGATGAGCCTGAGTTCACATCTTGCCTGTGCTCCTCACTACCTGAATTATCTTGGGCAATTTCTTCAGCTCTTCGGGCCTTAAGTTTTCTCCTCTGTAACTTGAGGGAGTTGAACTAGATGATCTCCAAGGCCCTTTCCAGCTCTCAATCCTTTGATCCTACTTGACAGACATATGTCACACAGAATAAAAAAGAGGGAGAAAGTTGTTCACACAATTAGAATTGTCCCTTCTGGACCCACCCCACTATAGAGGCAGAGTAGTAATACCACAGCTGCCTGGATGTAACATTGACCAAAAAACTGTAGTTATAAACATCACCATATGGAATATTCATAATCTCCAAACTATCTGCAATGAACAGCTTTCAAAATATAGAGACCTAGAGGAAGAAATGAGGAAACGGAATGAGGTGACATGTCAACCTCTCAGTGCCTCAGTTTCCTCATCTGCAAAAGAGGCAGGGGGTGGGGGGAATGTTTGGACTGTCTGAGGACTCTTACAGCTCTAACTTGATGTTTTTCTAATCCCTGACCTCCTTCTATGTGCTATTAGAGTTCTCTCTGTGATGTTTTCATGATTCTATAGAAGATGAGCTTACATCCCAATACTCTTATTCAGTTACCAAAAAAAAAATCATGTAATCTACCTGTACAATAATCTAGAGGCCACTAAATATTAAGGAGTGACAGCAGAATAACTACTTGTCCTTAGACCATTTCTATGTGAACCCTATCCAAAACAAATGTAAAAATAAAAACCATGATAATAGTGTGTAAAGGTTTGCCAAGTGCTTTATACATGTTATCTCATTTGGTCAGGCAATAAGGGTAAAAGCCCTCCTAGTCACTGTGTGGGCCTTACCTGTCCTCCCTCAGCACTGTAGCCTCAATTCCTTGAAGGGGGGGATTCCTTTCCAAATCAGGGTACTAACTGTGGGCAAACTCACCTGAACCACTGGGCTGAGGCCCAGTCTATGAGACTTCCCAGTTTGTAAGGGAATCCCTTGAGTACAGATTGACTCTCTCTGTGCAGAGGGCTGGAGCTACTACATGGACTACCAGGGGTGGTGAACCTGTGGCTTTGAGATCACGTGGCTTTCTAAGTCCTTGGGTTCAGCCTTTTGACTGAGTCCAAGTTTTACAGAACAAATCCTTTTATTAAGGGGATTTGTTCTGTGAAGTTTGGATTCAGTCAAAGGGCAGCACTTAAGACCTAGAGGGCCACATAAGGCCTGGAGGCCAGAGATTCCCCACCTCTGGACTAGACCCTCTGAACCCATGCTGTGTGAGGGAAAGCAAATAGCATCTCTTCCTGTGAGTCTGTGGTCCATCTGGCTAAGATGGTGTATGAGACTAGGAGCCTTAGTCTCTCTTCCTTTTCCACAGTTATTCTATTCCACTATTCCTTCGTTTCCTCAACTCATCTTCATGCTTCACGTGGTAAGACTTCATGGGAAGCCTTATTCCCAGTGGAAAAGCTCAAGTCACTGAATCCCTTCCACAATCCCTTAACCTCAGATCCTAAACACTGACAGGGTAGCACCTTCTTTCTCCCTTCTCAATCCTTTGAGCTGACTGGAACCTCATTACTTTGTTCTTTTCCATTCCTTTCTCATATGTGACATAATGGTTGTGAACAAAATATTTGTACCGTACAGAGAACAGCATTTTCCTGTGACAGGAGGAGAGTTTACAGACTCTTTTTCTTCCTATGTCCTCTACCAGATGACTTCACTTGAGAGTATGGCTGGGTCTTTCCTCACTTTACTCATCCTTAGCCAGCTTCCAGGCCAGGACTAAGGATCTTTGGGGGTTGGCTGAATTTTTATTGTACAGTGTGTTTACAGCTTTACAGGTGTGCTCACAAAGGGACACACACACACACACACACACACACACACACACACACACAGAGACATACTCAAGGAACCCATGCTCACAATCGTACAGAATTTGAGAGCTGGAAGAGACCCTTAATAAGCATCTAAGCCCACCTAGACCTGAGTAGGAATCCTTGACCATGGCATCCCTGACCATATCCTGCCTCTGCCAGAACACCTCCAGTTTTTGGCAGCTCATTATAACAAAAGACAGCCTGTTCCATTTTTTGTCGGCATTGATTTATGGGGAAGTTTTCCCAATGTATCCAGCCAAAATCTGCCTTTTAGAAGCCTCCACTCATTGCTCTCAGTTCTTTATTCTAGAACTAAGAGGAAGCATAATTCCTCTTCAAGTGACATCTCATCACACACCTAAAGAGATGGCATCCTGCTTCCCCCAGGCCTTCTCCCAGGACAGACGTAGACATGAATATACAGAGGGATGACCCACCCAGTAGACCAAAGCAAAGCTAGTCATACACAGGTGAAGGAATGAGAGAGAGCAGGGAAATGATGGATGTCCTAGAGTGAAAATGGTGGGAGGAAGGGATGTTCTTTGTCTGTTACATGCACAGAGAGCCACATAGACCACACAGAGAAGAGTACACACACACACACACACACACACACATACACATACACACACACACACACACACACACACACACACACACACACACCCAGTCTCAATCTCGCCAGTGTACAGTCAGTGTTTCCAGTCTCTTGAAAGTGTCTGGCATCAAACTAAATGTGGCCTAATCAGGTCAAGTGTGTGTGTAGCTGATTTGATCAGTTCTGTAATCCAGGACAGCTCTAGGCCAGGCTTCTAGTACAGTACCAGGAGTGAGACAAGCCTGGAGAATATCCAGGGGCATGGGGCAGGGTGGGAGGGTCTGACCCAACCTAGGATTATCCTTCATTCTCAGGTCCTGAGGAAACTGATGGAAGCCAAGGCTTCCCTGGGGAGAGTTGCTCCAATGGTGAGCCTGGGTGGCCCCAGGGATCTTGGGCCAAACCTAACTTTTGGATCTGCCTCAGAGTAGTTCCTTCGGGGCTGGACTAAAATTGCCCACGGGGCTCCCACCATGGACCTTTACCCCTAGAGTCCCTGCTTTGTTGGAAGCCTTCAACTTCTACTTTCTTGGCCTTCCCCATATCTGCCTCCTGGACCAGACTACCCTCCTGCCTTGTGGCTCAGCCCACACTGGGCAGGTAAACGGCACCTCCTTTCCTGTGATTCCAGACCCAGCCAGGTAACCTGGTGCAGGTAACTAGGAGCCTAGGCGGCACTGTTCCTTTGTCCCCTCAGCTCATCTTCACGCCCACGGCCACCGTCACTACCGTGCAGCCCGAGCTCAGCACCGGCTCCCCTGCCCAGCCCCCCACCCCCAATCAGGTGAGGACTTCATGGACTGGGCATGGGGGAGGGAAAGGGGGGGATAAATGGTTCCTAGGGAGGTGGGCACCCCCGGAGAAGGGTATGGCTATTTGGGTTGGCCTAGTGGATCTCCAGAATTTCTGGTAGGACAGGGTTCCCTAGGAAAGCATAAGATAGAGCAGCCAGAAGTTTCCAGCCCAGGGCTCCTTCACAGCTATACTCCACTGCCTAAAACATCTCTGTAGGTGAGGAGCTTGGGAATAGCATGTTGAGGCAAGAAAGTAAGTAACTTCCAATGGGGTCCTCAGTGCCCTAAACCCTCCCTACCATTCCCTTCAGTGCTCTAGAGCTCTGAAGTTAACTGTCCCACCTACCCATTTCTCCTTCTACCATCCCTGAAATGAATCTTCACAGGAAGTCTTACTACTCCTGAGGACATTAATCTGTCCTAGCAGGAAAGACAGCATGGAATGAACCTTTGGGCTCCTGGCCTTGCCAAGGTCTATGGGCCTTATGGTGAAAGAGAAGATTCTTTGGGTAGCAAGGATAAAGAGACTATGCCTAGTGGTGGCAGGCCAAGAAAAGAACATGGACAGCAAGATGTTTATCCTAAACAGGCCAACACCTTCTGTCCAGTAGAGGGCACCAAGAACCAGATTTTGTAAGGATTTTTGATGCCGCAACAAAGAAAGGCCAAGGAAGGAAGGACTGAACTGCTCTAGGGGGCAAAAGAGCTAATATACTTGGTTGCCCCAGCAGGACAGTAACTTGCCCTTTTGTGCCTTAATCAGGGCAGAGGGAGGCCCTCAGAAGTTGTCCATTTCCCTTAGGCATTCTGCCTTAGTGATCTGGCATCGTGGGAACTTGCTCCAATACTTGGTAGCAATGATACTTTTCTGACCCTCAAAGGACTGGTCATGGAGGGGATATGCAGTGGACAAAGTCTGGCGTACCTGCCCTGTCCTGAGTTAAGATTCCCATCCTAGAATTCAGTTTCTGTTTTCATCCTTCTATGCCCCTTTTCAAATCTATCCCAACTCCTGTCCCCTCCAACTCCAAACACCGTCTATCTGGCATTGTGGTCTGCTACCCTATTCAGCTATCCCTGGATCAATCCCTGACCCCACTGCTTCCATAGCTTCTTGGCACTATATTAAGTGTACTGGCATTGCTTCTGCCTCCCATCCCCCTCCCCACCCCTATCCCTACTTGGTTGGTGCTACCCCCAGACTCCCACAGACCCCTCTTTTCCAGGTACAGAACTTGACCCTCCGAACGCAGCAGACAGCAACCACAACAGCCTCGGGCCCCACCCCCACCCAGCCTGCACTGCCCAGCCTGGCCCTGAAACCCACCCCAGGCAACAGCCAGCCTTTGTCCACCCCCTCACAGGGCAGAAGCACCGCTCAGGGATCCCCAGCAGGTGCCAAGCCTGGCATAAGTGACAGTGTGGCTGAGCAACTCAAGAAGGGGGACAGCAGCAGTGGCAGTGTGCCAGGGAGCACTGAGGGCCGGGGGGGACTAAGCCGGATGGTGTCCCCTGTGGCCACACACCCCCTCATTGCACCAGGTAAGGCCCAAGATGGTATCTTGTTCCAGAAGATCCCAAAGCACTGCAAAGTTGACAGAATATTTTCATACTTCCTTTCTCCAAGGAGGTCCTGGACCCAGGCCATCTAGGGGAAGAGGATAGCCAGTCTCACCCAGTTTTCCCTCTATTTCCCTGCCCCAGGTCCATTGGCCTCTGGTTTTATTCAGTGCTGCTATCTTGGCAGAGGAGATATTGTAAGCCCAGAGGGGGAGGAAGGTCTGCTGTTCCTTCTACACAGGGCACACAGTGGCGAGAAGCTTCATGTCTTAGGACAGTTCAATAATAGCTCTGCCCCTGACTAGGCCCTCTCTGGCTATGGAAGGTGGATGCCAGTGCTCCCTATTGGCAAAAGGCAGAAGGCTAGTTAGAGGACCTGGAGGAAGAGCAGTCCTCCAGCACAGAGGGATGAGCACTTTTGTGTTCTTGGCTTATAGACCCCATGTGGAGAGAGGAGTAGTGGAACATGGGAACGACCTGGTCTTGCCATCCCAGCTCACATACTTAAGAGCTAGATGAATGAGGGCAAAGCACTTAGTCTTCTAAATCTCAGTTTTGTCCTTTGTAAAATGGGAAGAATAATATTTGCACTACTCATCTCATGGGATTGTTGGGGGAAGTACTTTGCAAACTTGACTAAGAGACAAAAACTATACAGTCAGCAAGGATTGGAGGCAGATGTGGTACAATCGGAAAAATCACTGAATTCTGGCCCTGCTATTTAATGCTTATATAATCTTGATCAATCACCTTATCTCTCTGGGCCTCAGTTTCCTTATCTTCGAAATGAAGAGGTTGTGCCACCTGATCTCTTAAATCTCTTCAGTCCTATTCACCAAGTATTTATAAAGCGGCAGCCTGTGCCAGGCACAGTGCCTGGTGCTGGGTATGAAGATAAGAATGAATATAGTCACTGCCCTCATGGAGCTTACATTTAATGGACAGAAACAACATGTACATAAATAAGTAAATACAAAATGTAAAGTAATTTCAGGAAGAGGGAGGGATTGCTAACAATCGGAGAATCAGGAAGGGTGGTAGTCTTTGAGCTGAGCCAGTTTTAAATCCTGTGATCTTGCTGGCCTTTGAGAGAGAATGATGTCTGCCCACATTGTGGCAATGTGCCAGCAAGCTAAATGCAGGTATTTAAATAAATATGGCTTCATCCAAAACATTTTTATCAGTGACCTGGATAAAGATATAGATACCATCATCCTTCATGTAGATGACACAAGGCTAATATGTTGAATGACAGAATTGGGACACCAAATAATCTGAACTGGAGAAACTAATGAGTCAGAGGGAATAAGATAAAACAGTTCTCCAGGGATCAATGAAAAGTGTAATATTTAGGTGCAAAACCTTGCTGTACCCATAGAGGAGGGGTGAGGGGGGTGGTTAGAGGGCATAAAAAAGGACCTCCAAGTCACAGAGGCTACAAGCTCTTGGGGAGTCACCAGAGTGATTCAGCTGCCCAGAAAGCCAGTGTGCTCGTAGGGTGCATTACCAGAAAGGATATCTACAACAGGGATGGGGAACCTGCGGCTTCAAGGCCACATGTGGCCTTCTAGTCCTCGGGTGCAGCCTCTTGACTGAGTCCAAGTTTTATAGAACAAATCCTTTTACTAAGGGGATTTGTTCTGTGAAGTTTGGATTCCAGAGGACCTGGAGGGCCACACATGGCCTTAAGGCTGGGTTCCCAGTCTATAGTCTAGAACAAGAGGGTGGTAATCCCAGTAACTTCTGCAGAGATTTGATCAGACACATTTATAATACTGTCTTCGATCCCAGGCCCCACCTTGTAGGAAGGAGAGTGACACCCCCAGAGCTAGTTTGGAGGAAGGCAAAGAGGATCAGTCAATCAATAAACATATATTAAGTGCCTACTGTGTGAAGGCACTGTGGTGAAGGGATTCAATATGTGTTTTAGATCAGGGTGGTGACATGGCAGTCATAGTCACGTTCAGACATTTGAAGGGTTGGTCTTGTAGAAGCAGGATTAGGCTCATGCTGTGTAGCTCCACAGTACAGAACTAGGCCTAGGGGGTGTGGGGAGGGAATGAGAGGAAAATCCACTGTGGCTCAATACAGGGAAGAGCTTCTTAAAAATTAGAACTGTCCAAAGAGGGAATGAAGGGGAACATATGTGCCAGTAGGGGTCAAGCAGATGCCTTGGGCAGGAAATTAGACCAGCAGCTACTGAGAAGGAAATACAGCCCATAGTCCAAACGGTCCTCAGGACTGCCATTTACCCCCATGATTGATCTGGAGGTTCTTTCTAGATCTGAGCCCACCCCCCAAATCTAGGTGGCATGGTGCAGGAGAGAGACAGGAGAGGAAGGGAGAAAGAGGAAGAGAAAAATATCATTTAACACTCATAGTGTGTCAGACACGGTACTATAAAGTCCCTCAAAGAATGTGTTCTGTCATGAGGCTGCTGAACTAATTGGGCACTAAGGAGCCTAGAGAGAGGTACAAAATAGCTCACCTTCTCCTTGGGACTCCTTCATGTTGGTTCAGATTGGCTCCAGACTAGCCAGCCAGTCACTCTTTATATACTCCACCGTTGCCCAGACACCCTAGCCAATACAGCTTTGATATATCCAGGGGCCCCAGAACCTCCAGAATTGTTCTAGAGTTTATAGAGACAGTTGGGGGAGGGGGCCCTGTTTCCATAGGCCTTATTTAAGCAGAAAGGGTCTGTGTGGCCATAAAGACTAAGGTCTTTGGGGTCAAGGGTCAGAAGGCTGGCTGGGGAATGCCATTGCAACTGCCCGCACTTAGCTTCATCCTAGCACAGAGCACATCAGCCCCCACAGAGCTTTCTGTCAGCATCTGTGAGCTAGAGAGGCACAAAGACCCTTTCCTCATGGATGCAGACCAGTGGGTTTCGCATTGTTCTAACAACCACAATCCCCTCCCAACCTCCCCCTCCTTTTTTCTCCTTCTCTCAGAGCTCTATGGTCAGGGCCTCCACCCCCACCTCTCTGCATCCGTGGCCCCTTCCATCTTGAAAGATAGCTAGGGGAAGATTTGGATGGTCACAAGGGCTCAGGCTTTTGGAACAAAGAGTAGACTGAATCAGGGAGGCAAGATGAGCCTTATAACCCCCTGGGAGGCAGCCTGGGGTCATGCCCACAGCCTCCTAGCATCCCATCCAGCCTACCCACTGGGACAGAATTGAGGGATTAGGAAGCTGAAAGGGGGAGATGAATTGGAGGTGGGGGTGGCTTGGCCAGTCAGAGTTGGCCTTGAGCTGGCTGCTGCCCCTAAGGAAGATCACCAGTGGGGGGCTATGGGGTAGCAGGGAGGAATGTGGTCTCCTAGGGGCTATTTCCCCCTAGAGCAGGCTTCTAGTCCCAGCTGGGGCTGTTCCCATTGACAGCTGTTTGGGGGCAAAGCCCCTCCCCCATGGCAAGTTCCCTGCTGCTTTCATCCTGTCACCTTGGCAACCAGGCTTCTTTAGGCCTTACAAACAGAAAAGGCCCCCTCTGCCTTGAAAAGCTTTGAGGAGGGAGCAGAGCCTGAGGGCTTGGCTTTAGGGAGGGTGTAAGGGAGGGAGGGAAGGAGGGGAGACTGGCTTTGCCTGGCTTAAATCTGTGAGCTAGGAGCCAGCAGGATACTCCTGGCCTTGGCCTCCCAGAAAGCTAAGCCAAGCTTGACACCTGGTACCGAGCCTCAAAGGACAGCGGCCCAAACAAGGATAGACTTGGGACCTCAGGTGTAGTGATACCCTAAGGGTAGCCTCTCTACTGATGCCTGATCTCCTGCCTCCAACTAGGGGCAAGGGCTTACTTACAGTGTGAGAGGCAGTGATGGGGGGGGGGGGTTGGTGATATCAGCCCTGGAGGGTCATTGAGAATCAAAGGCTGTTTTCACCCACTGTTTCCCATGATCCCTCGCAAACTCTTTGTTCTGCCTTCTGCCACCATTCTTCCCCTCCCCCTTCCCCCTTTTGCTCCTGCTCTTCATGCCTACTCCATCCTCAGCAGGGCAGAAGGCACTATCTGTTAATAACAGTTACTATGTAGTTGCTTTGTTCCACCTCAGATGTAGTTGCACATCAGTGGGGAAAAATATCTGCAGGTAATTGGCTGAACAATTTGGGATTGGGAGGCACCACATTCTTCTGTACAAATAGCCATTGTTGATTGACTGATTGATTGATTGATTGATTGATTGGAGTAAAGATGCCATTACATGAAATTGAATAGAGAAGTGGATATCACTGCCTCTAGAAAGCCCAGGTAGAAAAAGAATATAGGAATGAACCTGTTTGGTTGTATGAGAGGATTGGCTCTTTTGGTCCGTTACCCATTATAACTGAATATAGCCCTGTCATACCATTGTATGGGTGGAGTCGCTGAACAGTTTCGCTTAAAAGTGATCTTGGGTGGTCATTTCAACTACCCTGCCCCCACAAGACCACACTTAGATTTTAGCAAAATTTTTAGTAAAAAAAAAAAATCTTAAAAGTTGGAGCAGCATTGCTAAGAGGAGTGTGTATATTGTTTAACATCCTCTCTGCCACGATGCACATGTGCACCCCCTATTCTGACACACATTTCACTTGACATTGGTGATCACCCAATTTCCTTTGGAAATTTGTTCTACTCCTGGCTTCCTTAACACTGTGTTTGTGCTATTTCCTTACCTTGTTTCTCCTTTTCTCTTTTCTTCTCCTTTCTCTGAGTCTTCCAAAAATCCAGTTCTAGGCTCTCTCCTTTTCTCCCTGTAACATTAACTGCTCACCTGGTTTTAGCTCTACCTACCACCTGTATGCGGATGGCTCTCAAATCCATATCACCTTGATCTCTTCCCTGCTTCCACTCCCAGAACTCCAGCTGCCTCTAGGATAGCAGCACCAGAAAATGTATCATACCCACACCTGAATTTTGAAATGTTTTTATGTGAATTTACAATTGTCTTCCCCAAATGGACCTGTCCCCTAATGTCCTCATTGCTGCCAACACCACTGTCCA